CAAGCTTGCCGTATCGCATTCTTGGACATGTATAGGGCTTGGTCTGCATGTGGATGGTACCCGTCACAGGAAGCGTGGTACAGTCGAGTGACGACACAGGCTACTTGGGTGATCTCAGCAAGAAGGATCCTGTCGGTACCTTAAACTGTTGTCACAGTAAGCAATATGCAAGTGATGACAAGCCACAATATCGATCCCTCACCATCTCACCATGTGTGTCGGTGTGTCACTGTGTGTCAAGGACCGAGGTACTTGTAAGACAGATTTTAGGAAACGCAGGTTTTCCTTGCATTTCGGCAGAGTAATAAGTGTTAACTGCATAGTGTGCCTTTTCTACAGTTAGAGTAATAAGTGTTAACTGCATAGTGTGCCTTTTCTACAGTTAACACTCAGTTAACACTCAGTTAACACTACAGTTAACACTACAGTTAACACTGCCGAAATGCCGCAAAAACCAGCATTTTGCAGAATACACGCGTTTTGAAAAAAAAACTGCTAGTTCTAGTGTCTTTTATACACATTTGACGAAAATGCTGGTTTTCCCAGCATTTCGGCAGTGTTAACTGTAGTGTTAACTGTAGTGTTAACTGAGTGTTAACTGAGTGTTAACTGAGCTGTTAACTGTGGGAAATGTAAGGAATTTACACTAAGCCAGAATACACGAGGAGCTCGCCAGTGGGAGTCCCACCGGAGTGCCGCGGAGCTGCATGGAGCAGACTTGGATCGAGGTGGAGCACCCGGGTCAGGGTGCAAAAAAAGTCGCATCCTGGAAGCCTGCTACCACAGTCGGCTTGCGTGGTCTTGGGTCGTACCTATAGCAACCAGCCGTGCCAACAAGCTTGCCGTATCGCATTCTTGGACATGTATAGGGCTTGGTCTGCATGTGGATGGTACCCGTCACAGGAAGCGTGGTACAGTCGAGTGACGACACAGGCTACTTGGGTGATCTCAGCAAGAAGGATCCTGTCGGTACCTTAAACTGTTGTCACAGTAAGCAATATGCAAGTGATGACAAGCCACAATATCGATCCCTCACCATCTCACCATGTGTGTCGGTGTGTCACTGTGTGTCAAGGACCGAGGTACTTGTAAGACAGATTTTAGGAAACGCAGGTTTTCCTTGCATTTCGGCAGAGTAATAAGTGTTAACTGCATAGTGTGCCTTTTCTACAGTTAGAGTAATAAGTGTTAACTGCATAGTGTGCCTTTTCTACAGTTAACACTCAGTTAACACTCAGTTAACACTACAGTTAACACTACAGTTAACACTGCCGAAATGCCGCAAAAACCAGCATTTTGCAGAATACACGCGTTTTGAAAAGAAAAACTGCTAGTTCTAGTGTCTTTTATACACATTTGACGAAAATGCTGGTTTTCCCAGCATTTCGGCAGTGTTAACTGTAGTGTTAACTGTAGTGTTAACTGAGTGTTAACTGAGTGTTAACTGAGCGTTAACTGTGGGAAATGTAAGGAATTTACACTAAGCCAGAATACACGAGGAGCTCGCCAGTGGGAGTCCCACCGGAGTGCCGCGGAGCTGCATGGAGCAGACTTGGATCGAGGTGGAGCACCCGGGTCAGGGTGCAAAAAAAGTCGCATCCTGGAAGCCTGCTACCACAGTCGGCTTGCGTGGTCTTGGGTCGTACCTATAGCAACCAGCCGTGCCAACAAGCTTGCCGTATCGCATTCTTGGACATGTATAGGGCTTGGTCTGCATGTGGATGGTACCCGTCACAGGAAGCGTGGTACAGTCGAGTGACGACACAGGCTACTTGGGTGATCTCAGCAAGAAGGATCCTGTCGGTTGACGGAGGAAATCTTGCACCATCTGCCTAGTAACAAGTGACACGACGCTTGAGCATATCCCCACACCCCCTTTTTAACATTGAAGATGATGGATACGGAGGTGGTGCAAGATTTTTGTTACTGCCCACGGCACTTCCGACGATCACCGGTCAATGTTAAAAAGGGGGCGTGGGGTGTCTGCTTGGCTTGGCCAAAACTGGTGCAAGATTTCCTCCATCAACAGTACCTTAAACTGTTGTCACAGTAAGCAATATGCCAAGCCACAATATCGATCCCTCACCATCTCACCATGTGTGTCGGTGTGTCACTGTGTGTCAAGGACCGAGGTACTTGTAAGACAGATTTTAGGAAACGCAGGTTTTCCTTGCATTTCGGCAGAGTAATAAGTGTTAACTGCATAGTGTGCCTTTTCTACAGTTAACTGCATAGTGTGCCTTTTCTACAGTTAACACTCAGTTAACACTCAGTTAACACTACAGTTAACACTACAGTTAACACTGCCGAAATGCCGCAAAAACCAGCATTTTGCAGAATACACGCGTTTTGAAAAGAAAAACTGCTAGTTTTAGTGTCTTTTATACACATTTGACGAAAATGCTGGTTTTCCCAGCATTTCGGCAGTGTTAACTGTAGTGTTAACTGTAGTGTTAACTGAGTGTTAACTGAGTGTTAACTGAGCGTTAACTGTGGGAAATGTAAGGATTTACACTAAGCCAGAATACACGAGGAGCTCGCCAGTGGGAGTCCCACCGGAGTGCCGCGGAGCTGCATGGAGCAGACTTGGATCGAGGTGGAGCACCCGGGTCAGGGTGCAAAAAAAGTCGCATCCTGGAAGCCTGCTACCACAGTCGGCTTGCGTGGTCTTGGGTCGTACCTATAGCAACCAGCCGTGCCAACAAGCTTGCCGTATCGCATTCTTGGACATGTATAGGGCTTGGTCTGCATGTGGATGGTACCCGTCACAGGAAGCGTGGTACAGTCGAGTGACGACACAGGCTACTTGGGTGATCTCAGCAAGAAGGATCCTGTCGGTACCTTAAACTGTTGTCACAGTAAGCAATATGCAAGTGATGACAAGCCACAATATCGATCAATATGCCTCACCACCATCTCACCATGTGTGTCGGTGTGTCACTGTGTGTCAAGGACCGAGGTACTTGTAAGACAGATTTTAGGAAACGCAGGTTTTCCTTGCATTTCGGCAGAGTAATAAGTGTTAACTGCATAGTGTGCCTTTTCTACAGTTAACACTCAGTTAACACTCAGTTAACACTACAGTTAACACTACAGTTAACACTGAAATGCCGCAAAAACCAGCATTTTGCAGAATACACGCGTTTTGAAAAGAAAAACTGCTAGTTCTAGTGTCTTTTATACACATTTGACGAAAATGCTGGTTTTCCCAGCATTTCGGCAGTGTTAACTGTAGTGTTAACTGTAGTGTTAACTGAGTGTTAACTGAGTGTTAACTGAGCGTTAACTGTGGGAAATGTAAGGAATTTACACTAAGCCAGAATACACGAGGAGCTCGCCAGTGGGAGTCCCACCGGAGTGCCGCGGAGCTGCATGGAGCAGACTTGGATCGAGGTGGAGCACCCGGGTCAGGGTGCAAAAAAAGTCGCATCCTGGAAGCCTGCTACCACAGTCGGCTTGCGTGGTCTTGGGTCGTACCTATAGCAACCAGCCGTGCCAACAAGCTTGCCGTATCGCATTCTTGGACATGTATAGGGCTTGGTCTGCATGTGGATGGTACCCGTCACAGGAAGCGTGGTACAGTCGAGTGACGACACAGGCTACTTGGGTGATCTCAGCAAGAAGGATCCTGTCGGTACCTTAAACTGTTGTCACAGTAAGCAATATGCAAGTGATGACAAGCCACAATATCGATCCCTCACCATCTCACCATGTGTGTCGGTGTGTCACTGTGTGTCAAGGACCGAGGTACTTGTAAGACAGATTTTAGGAAACGCAGGTTTTCCTTGCATTTCGGCAGAGTAATAAGTGTTAACTGCATAGTGTGCCTTTTCTACAGTTAGAGTAATAAGTGTTAACTGCATAGTGTGCCTTTTCTACAGTTAACACTCAGTTAACACTACAGTTAACACTACAGTTAACACTGCCGAAATGCCGCAAAAACCAGCATTTTGCAGAATACACGCGTTTTGAAAAGAAAAACTGCTAGTTCTAGTGTCTTTTATACACATTTGACGAAAATGCTGGTTTTCCCAGCATTTCGGCAGTGTTAACTGTAGTGTTAACTGTAGTGTTAACTGAGTGTTAACTGAGTGTTAACTGAGCGTTAACTGTGGGAAATGTAAGGAATTTACACTAAGCCAGAATACACGAGGAGCTCGCCAGTGGGAGTCCCACCGGAGTGCCGCGGAGCTGCATGGAGCAGACTTGGATCGAGGTGGAGCACCCGGGTCAGGGTGCAAAAAAAGTCGCATCCTGGAAGCCTGCTACCACAGTCGGCTTGCGTGGTCTTGGGTCGTACCTATGAACAAACTCTCCCGAAGGGGGATGTTTTCTTATTTGATTGTTTTCATGTTTGGAAAAATTGTTTACAATTTTTCATGCGCACTTTCCCTTGTCATGCCTTGCTGGATCGTACTGCATGACTTGCTGTTTTTCTCACGATTGCTTTACCATGCTTGTCTTGGTATTCGCAGTTTTGCTTGCAGGCGTGAGAAAATTTTTGTCCGGGGCCTCTAGAGGCTTGTTCCTTCGTGTAACAGGTTCCCAGGCCCCTTACGCAAGGCTTTAGCTTCCCGGACAGCCGGGTGTGCATGGAACGGCGGCCGCAGCGCCCGCCTGTTGCCTTGCGCCGCCTCCTGCTTCTTTGGCTGTGGGAGCGCTTGACCTTGAGAGGCTGGGAGTCCGCGATCCTGCGGCCTGACCCACCTTTTCGCCTAGGTCTCTTGCAGTTCCTAGGCGCAGCTTCAGCCAGCTCACACATCTTGCTGGCAGTCGGAGTGCAGAACTTGTTGCCTTTGCGTGCTACCTGCAGAGCCATCAGAAGCATTTTCAGCACAATTTCCGAGCTGGTGCGTGCAAGTCGTGGCCGCCTCAGTCGACTCTACCAGGGTCAGTGAGCGCCCGCATTTTCTGGGGTATGGCGCGACCGCTCGATAGGCTCTTGCTTGCTGCAGACAAACATGTGTCGAAACATTCCCTTAAAATGCCTTGGGAGCGAGGGACGATGAAAGCAGTTTTCTCGCAGGGCGACTTGAATTCCCTTTCTCAGTGCAGTGTGCCGGCTCCTCTACAAACGGAACCCTTGGACTCCGCTTCTTTCGAGGAGGCCTCCGCCAAGGCTCACCCCCAAGAGCATGCTTCACAGTTTGTTCAGGTCGCTTTCTCTGCCAGGAAATTTCAGAGGCCTCAAGAAACTGAAGAGCAACAGTTGCAATTGCTTGCAGCAAGATACGATGTTCTCTTGAGCCACGCATACGAATGCTCCTCCCTTGGCAGACTGTTGAAGGACAAGTGCGAAGCAGACCGGATCAGTCTTGTTGCCGAATCCCTGGGTGGCAAGGCCATCTCGACTTTGAAGAAGCGGTTGTCCAGTCTCGCCCGCATGGTGGGATGGTGCTCGAACCAGGGCATGTCAGCTTTCCCGATCGACTCTCAGGTGTTGATCGAATACACCCAGCATCTGCAGCAGAGCGGGGCCTCGCATTCAGTGTTTGGATCTTGCATCGAAGCTTGTAACTTTGCTAGATTCATTTTGGGTGTGGAAGCGATTGGAGATCCTCACAAGCACCCGCTTGTGCAAGGGCGTCTTCGCAAGGTGCGGTTCAACCGCCCGCCTCGTGTGCAAGCCAGGCCTTTTCAGGTTCGCGAGGTAGCATACCTTGAAGCTTTCGTCCAGGACAGCCGCCGTGATGCAAGGGATAGATATGCCGCTGGTGCTTGCTTGTTCTGCATTCACTCGAGAGCCCGTGTAGGGGATGTGAGGGCAGTCAAGATGATGACCATCGATTTTGCAGAAGGTGAGGGTTTCCTTGAGTGCATCTCAACGTCCCATAAGTGTGCATCGACAGGCAACCCGTTGGGGCTTGAGTTGAGCTTAGTGTCCCCCGAGCGGGGTGTGGGTCAAGGTCTTTGGGCTAAAGCTTGGGTTGAGGTGTGGCGCTTGTCGGGCCATCCTATCGCCACTGGAGCCTGCAGCCTGCCCCTGCTGCAGTCACCTATGCTCAATGGGTCATGGAGCGGTCGTCGGATTCCGACGGGCAGGTTTGTGTCCTGGATTTCTTCGATCCTTCAGTCTGGGGATTCAAGCATGGGGACTGATCTCAAGGGTCACTCGTGCAAGCATACTGCCCTGTCCTGGGCGAGCAAGACGGACATGTCCAAGGACTCCTGCACCATTTTGGGACACCACTCCTTGAAGGATCGGCGGTCTGTCGTAACCTACTCCAGAGACATTCAAGCGGGACCGTTGCGGGAGCTTTGTCAAATGTACTGCGACATTCGGTGTGGCAGGTATCTTCCAGACATGACCCGGTCAGGTCTTTATGCAAAGGGCCTTGTCGCTGCCGGCTCGGCCGAGGAGCTGCCAGTCGACAGTGTGTTCGAGACTGAGGCAGAAAGGGACTGGTACCGGCCTGCGGTTAGTCCTGGCTCAGCGTGTGGCTCGGAAGCCCTTCCGAGTGCAGGTGCTCCTGCCTCCGAGCCGGGTTTCGGAGATCAGAAGGATGCCACCTTTCGGCCGTGCTGTGGACTCCCTGATCCATAGTGCAGAGCGTGCCGCTTGGGAGGACCCGGATGCTGCTTTCGGGGACAGTGGATCACAGGAGGAGGAGCCGGGCTCTTCTTCGTCTAGCGAGTCTAGTTCTGATTCAGGTTCGTCTGACAGCGAGATAGATGAAGTCCTGACTGCAAGTCAGGCAGATCCCACAGTGGGGCAGAGGTATCACGATCGGTGCCCTGTCTATCAGCAGAAGAATACAAGGACTCTTCATCTCAAGCCTGCGGGAAGCTCCATGGAGCGCTTTATATGTGGCCGTGATATCACGGCGAACCACAAGCCGTTCACGTCGGCGGTTCAAGCGGCGCACTGGCGCTGCAAGCAATGCTGGAAGGGCAAGCCCATCAGGGACTTAGGGTCCTTGGTTCACTGCCTTGACGAGCGATTGAAGAAGATTCCGAGGTCCGAGTAAAAGTCTGCGTTGTGGTGCTTCGGAGTCAGGTCCCCATGAGCCTTGAGGCCCCGAGGTTCTTTGATTGTCTGCAGCGCTTTATCTTGTGAGTGCGTGCGGGACACTGATTGTGATCACATGCAGGACGGCTCAGACACCTTGCGGGATCATGTACATGGCATGCTGGAAATACCCTTGCGGGAGTGATTTGTCAATTGAGTTAGGACATGTCACACTTGCGGTCATGCTAGTTCTGAACGTGTAGGATCCGACTCTTCATCATGGCGTCCATCTTGAAGAGTCAAGCGGCTTTTGAAGAAAGGGCCAAAGAATGTGGTCTGGCGCAAGCTGAGCTCGATGTGCTTGTGCGTAAGGGGCTGACTTCCTTGTCGCTCCTTGCCTTCAGCGTCTCGACCCCGGGCGAAGTGCCACAGGAAGCTGAACTCAGGTCCATCCTTGACCCCACGGACCCCACAACTGTGCCGTTGCGTGCACTGTCGGCGCTGCGACGCCTCATGTTTGAAGCTCAAACTTTGTCGATCGCACAGCTCAAGAGCTCGATTGAGGGTGAAGGTGAAAGGAAAGCCGAGCTGGCTCCTGCCGAGCGAGCAAATCGCCTGGCCGATCAGCGCAAAAGGCTCATCGGCCTCAGCTTGACGGGCCCTCTGGAAAACGCTTTCAGCAATTACACTTATGTCGCTCAGGTCGTTGATCAGGATTGCCTTTCCTATCTGGAGCCCCACAGGTTCCTCACCAGGGCCATGGAAGTGAATAGAGAGAAGCCGGGGAAGGAGTTGATCTTAGATGAGGGTTCGCGTATGAGTGTCCGCGACAAAGCCCACAAGGATAAGTGTGGCATTCAGAATGAGCTGCAGCTCTCCGAAGCCTTGTGTCGTAGGGCACTTGCCTGTGATCTTCTGCAGCTCTGCACGTTTGCCTCCATGGACATGTGGCACAGGCATCTGCTTGCAAAGCTGTCGGAACAGCCGCCTCCCTATTATGCCAAGGTTTCGATGGAGCAGCTGCTCAGGTGCGACAAGGCGGCGTGGGTGCGCATGAGTGAGCTCTTGACTTCTCTTAAGAAGGATGATTCCGGTAATCTACCGATGGATGCCGCGCTGGACAAGCTTCAGTATGATCCAAAAATCATGATGCATCTGGCCCCGCTTCCTGGTGCTAAGTGGAAGGGCGATGGAAAAGGCGAAAAGGGCATCAAGCGCGATGCCGATGGCAAGCCAAAGTTGCCCCACCGTCCCAATAAAGGCACTGGCAAAGGAAAGTGTCCTGATGTGTTGTCCGACTCACGCTTGAAGCACAACTGTAGCAAGACCAAGAAGCGCCTGTGTTGGAATTTTAACTTGCAGGCAGGATGTAAGTTTGCGAAGGCGGGTGAGAGCTGCAAACGAGGCTTGCATCTTTGTATGTTCTGCGAGCAGCCCCACTCCCTTCTCCAATGCCCGGCTTACAAAGTCAACGAGTGACGGGAGGCTGCCGCTGTTGAGACCGATTCTTTTATTGCTGAAGCGATGAGCCCTCCGGTCTCGACCCAAGCGGCAAACCATGCATGCATGTTGGCACAGAGTGACCCTGTTGGCCCATTGGAACGTCCCAAGCCGGCCTCCTCAGTGTCTGATCGAATTTCAAATATTGTGATTGATGAGCGAGTTTTTCCCTTGCCCGCTGAGCGGCGAGTGCATGCCTCTTTGCATCCTGCAGAGCAATTTGCACAAGATGTTCTGTCGTCTGGTGAACCTGTGACAGCAACCTGTGTTGAGCGGCTCTTTAGTTTGCTGCCTTCCAAGGAGGATGAGCGATTCAGTTCCGATTCTGGCAGATCCTTTGTCGCGGGTGTTTTCCGGCATGGGGGCGTCGTTGGCCTCACGAACTCCTGCCGTTCTTTTCCCCAATCGGTCAGCCTGGCCATCACTTGGGCCATGCAGCAAGCCGGAACCGAGTTGTCAAATTTCACATTTTGCTCAATTTCTCTGAACCTCAACGTTAAGACTCAAGACTGAAGTTCACCGCGATGTAAATAACGGTGATGCCGACAACCTCGTGTTGGCCGTTACCTCTTTCTCAGGTGGCCACATCTGGGCGCAATCCGAATCGGGCAGTCATGCACTGCCTGTCAATGGGACCCTGATCCCAGGCGTCTTGTATGATGTTGCAGCAGCCCCAGTGCGGTTCTATGCGCGAAAGCGCTTGCATTGCACAATGCCTTGGACAGGTGATAGGCTAGTCCTCATCTTGTTTTCGGGCGGAGATGCCACACAATTGCCCAGCCTTGATTTTGAGCACCTTAAATCCCTTGGGTTTAGGCCTTCGGTCTCCACGTCCACGGCCAACCCGCCGTTGGCGTATGTACCACCGCCTGCCGGAGCTTTTGAGCCCTTGCTTTCCAAGGTTCGTGCTAAAGTCGACGGGGTGTCTCTTGACAATCTCGTGTTTCTTGATGTTTTCTGCGGCACGGGGGGGCTCTGTGCGTCCCTACGGCAGTTAGGCATGAAACTCAGTGTCCGTCTAGACCGTCACGCGCAGCGCGGTTGCAAATGTCCCGTTGTCTCGTTGGACCTCACGAAGCCAGGCTCTCGGGCCATCCTGCTTGATCTTCTCAAACAGCCAAATGTTGTTGCATGCCACTTGTCCCCACCTGTAACCACCAGTTGTGCCAATCTGCCGGGCCCCCGCTCTGGTGTTTTTCGCAATGCAACATACCCTGATGGTCTGCCCGGTTTGCAAGGCACTGATCTCGAGTTAGTCCAGGGGGCCAACACACTTTTTGCCATGTGTGCTGAGGTCTGGCATTTTTGCTGGAGCCATGGGGTATTTTGCTCCATTGCTCACCCGAGCCGTTCCATCATGTGGCTCTCTGCGTCACTTCGGTCCTGTCAGTCTTCGCCTTTCCTCTCCACCTCTCTGCACCAGTGCATGTTTGGCTCCTACCGGAGAAAAGCCACTCGCATTTTGCACACGGTCCCCTTCTTGCAAAAGCTTGGTGTGACTTGTGATGGCGGCCACGACCATGAGCCGTGGCGATCCCCTGCACAAAATCGCCTGAAGGATGCCGGCTTGCCGCCTCTCTTGTGCAAGACTTTTGCCCAGGCACTTGTTGATCAGCTCGTTGCGTGCGGTGCGCGCGCTCCGGCGTGCTCTCTTGCAAATGCTTCCTTGTCGCTCTCCATGGGCGCCCGTGTTGCTACAGCGACGCAACCATCGGGTCGCAAGATCCCTCCACTGGTTCCTGAGTTCGCCCGCACAGTGTCAAGTTGGCAGGTCCAGCCGATCAGCTGCCGTGCACCTCAAAGACCAAGCTGGTCTCGGCGTGGGCGGTTCCCAATACTGTCTTCTGCCAACCTTTCCTTGCAACTTTGCCGCCAGGTTCCAAGTGTCTCCGAGCCAGCCCTGTGGTTCCAGGGGGTCTGGCGCCTGCCTCGGAGCCAGCTAAAGGTACGGTTTTAGGTAGTCCTGAGTCCCCTGCCTCCTCGTGCCTGCCTGCGGTTGCTGAGGGTGTGGTTTTAGGTAGTCCCGACTCCTTTGCTCCCCAATGCCAGCCGGCAACCTCACCCTTAAATGCAGCCAGTGCGACACCAAATGCCAAACCTGAGCTTGAGCTGCTTTTCGGCATACCTTGGTCGCCTTCGGAGTTCGTCAAGCAGGCCTGCAAAGCGAAACACCCGCGCTCCTTGGACCAAGGCGTGCCAGCCGGCATGTCGGCATGTATTGAGCGCTTGTGTGAGCACAGCTCGGTCGATGTGGCGAGGGAACGAACGGCCGAACTTCGCAAGTGGATGCTTAGGAAGAAAGAGCTTGATGAGAGTTTTGATGGACCTGAGCACTGCAAGAAGATCTTAGCTGGAAAGCCTATGAAGCTCTTCGGGGAGATGGTCAAGGCTGCCGGACATGCTGATGTTAACTGGTACGAGATATACAGAACGGTTTCGACCTGCTTGGCGAGATCCCTTCCTCGTCTGTCCTGCCTAAGAAAACCACGGTGGCTTCTCTCAGTGTCGAGGACGTAAGAATCGCCACCCCGGCGAACCAGCGTGCGATTTGGGAGGCTTCCCGTACTTGCAGGGATCCGGAAATCACTTCTGAAGTGTATCGCCTTACCCTGGAGGAGCGGGATAAAGGGTGGCTGACTGGCCCCTTTACTCTCGCCGATGTGCCGGAGACTGCCATCGTTACCCGCCGCTTTGGCGTCAGGCAAGGTCTGACGACGACGGCCACCGGTGTAGCGGCTAAGATCCGTCCTATCGACGACTTCACAGAAAGCTTGGCTAACTTGTCGTGCACATGTGCGGAAACCATCGACCCGCATTCAGTGAACATCATTGTGGCCGGGATCCTGAAGCGGTGCAGGTTGCTACGGAAGTCCGGAAGGGACGCACGCTTGCTCCTTCGGACAATAGATCTACGAAAAGCCTATAAGCAACTTCCTGTGTCGGAGCGCGCCTTGGGGGATGCTTATATATGTGTGCTTAACCCGAATACGGGTGAGCCTGAGCTTTACCAAAGCCAGGTGTTACCCTTCGGTGCAAAACCCTCCGTACAAGGCTTCTGTCGTGCATCAGGGGCCCTCTGGGCGGTGGGGCAAGCTTTGCTCCACATCCACTGGTCCGTGTTCTTCGATGATTATGCGGTAGTGGCTTCGCCTGAGGAAAAGGGTCACCTTGATCTTGTGTTGCGGTCATACTTTGGCTTGCTCGGCTGGGAAACGTCCGACGAAAAGGACGCCGGGTTCAAAAGTGTGGCAAAAGCCTTAGGCGTAGAATTTAGTATGGATGAGATCCACCTGGGTCTGCTTAGGGTGCAAAACACGGAGGCTAGGAAGCGCGAGCTTGTGTCCACCATCGAGTCAATCGTGCAGCAAGGTGGAGCGCATGCCAGAGAGCTTGAGTGCTTGCGTGGGCGCCTTCAGTTCGCTGAGTCGCAGGTGTTTGGTCGTGGTGCGGCCCAGCGCATGCGAGCTATATCAAAAGCAATGAAGCTTTCAGGCTTTGTGGTTCTTGACGACTCCTTGACCGAGGCCCTGCTTTTCTTGAAAGATCGAGTGCTGCACGGGGAAGCAAGGATGATCAGGGCCTGTGATCGCCCCACCTACCACTTGTTCACGGACGCTTCCTATGAAGCGGATATGCCGGCCGGTCTAGGGGGCATCCTTTACAGCGATGGGGGTTTGCTCCTTAGGTGGTACTCCGAGTCTGCCGACACAGACGTTTTAGAGGCCATAAACCAAGAGGGCAAACAAGGTCTGATCTATGAGTTGGAAGCTTGTGCAGCTGTGCAAGGCGTCATGCAGCTTTGCAATTCCTTGAATGATTGCAACCTCATTTGCTATTGCGATAATGAGGCCGCCCTTGCGGCCCTCATAAAATGTGCTTCTGAATCTCCGGTGGTAGCATCGCAGCTCAACAAGCTCAGCATGCTTGAGGACGAGAAGGGAATCAGCATATGGTTTGAAAGAGTGGAGTCGTCTGCAAACCCTGCCGACGATCCTTCGCGCTTTGTGCTTAGCGAGCTTCCTGTCAACTTCAGAGTCCGTTGGATCCCAGGCGAAGAGCTGTTGTTCTAACGGCATCTGATCTTGAATGGGGAATGGCATCAGTTGCCTTTTGCTTGCTGGAAATTTTTCACTTGCAGGAGTATGCCGGAAACCTCGTGCAGGACACCTTTAGCTTTTGCCATCTTTGTACATCGGCCACGAATGCGGAGCCAAAACCATCAGTCTGCACCCCTCGCTCTAAAAAGAAATGCAGCGTGCGATGATTCAGTCTGTGAGTTCAGTCAGTGTACATGTTCTTCCTGCTGTGTAGTGCGCTTGGCTTGAAAACATAACCAAATAAGAACAAACTCTCCCGAAGGGGGATGTTTTCTTATTTGATTGTTTTCATGTTTGGAAAAATTGTTTACAATTTTTCATGCGCACTTTCCCTTGTCATGCCTTGCTGGATCGTACTGCATGACTTGCTGTTTTTCTCACGATTGCTTTACCATGCTTTTCTTTGTTTGGGGGTTTTCCAAAAGGAAAGACCTAGGGGCTAGCGAAGTAGCGCGTTAAGGGCGAAGCCCATTAAACTTGACATACAAACATGTCTTGACGAATGCACAGCTCAAGTCGGCACAACATGAGAGTGGATGCAAAGGCGGCTCACATCTTTTTCAACGGTCGGGGCATGCATCGAGTTCGTTTGGAGTTCTATGCATCAGGCACTGAAGGACACGGTGTGCAGCCCCCCGCGGGGGCACGAATGCACAAGACGAAGTGTCCGACCGAAAGCACCCCCCTTCCATTATTCAAGGGAGAGGAGGGCGGGAAGAAAAAGTTCGCAATACGATTGCCCGAGCTTGATGCGAAAACGGTGCGCGGGCACTCTCTTCAAAGCATGTACAAGTTTACAAGTGAAATCATGTCGACATGAAGGAACGGACGTTGTTCCATAAAAAAAAGTACAAAAGTCATCATGTAAATTCCATGACGATTTCATACAAAAGATTCAGAACTGTTGTTGTTGGTTTGGAATGTCAGCAACCAAAGCTTGGACAAATGGAAAACCGCTCGTTACCTCGCTGCCCCACCCAAAGAAAGGTATATCAACTTCGTTGACGCTGACCTTCTTTGTTTGGGGGTTTTCCAAAAGGAAAGACCTAGGGGCTAGCGAAGTAGCGCGTTAAGGGCGAAGCCCATTAAACTTGACATACAAACATGTCTTGACGAATGCACAGCTCAAGTCGGCACAACATGAGAGTGGATGCAAAGGCGGCTCACATCTTTTTCAACGGTCGGGGCATGCATCGAGTTCGTTTGGAGTTCTATGCATCAGGCACTGAAGGACACGGTGTGCAGCCCCCCGCGGGGGCACGAATGCACAAGACGAAGTGTCCGACCGAAAGCACCCCATAGGCACTCGGGCACTAGTCTTTTGCAGCAGCTATTGCCAGTATCGAAGTTGGCCCATCATCACGAAGGGGTTTGAAATCGCCCATCGGGTCAAAGTCTTCCAACTCCGGCGGCATACATAAGCTGCCTGCATGTCGTCCTTCAAGAAGCCTAATGCAGTCGTTGATGCGCCCCCTCGAAGGGAGATCGGCTGGGTTAGAGGTCGAAGGCACCCTCTCTATCCAAGGATAGTGAGGATGGTCCAGATCACACATGTGAAATGACGAGGCCAAGGATTGCATCGAGGGAACTCCCGATACCGCTCGGATGAGCGCGTATCGGGCACTTTCGTTATCGATGAAGTAAATGCATTTTCTGCCGGTCAGTCGGTAGCGTTCTCGGTGGCGGATGCAGACTGCTGCGGCCAATTCAGCCTGGCATATGATCTGCTCGTCGTCATAGCGTTGCCACGATGACACCAAAGACGAGGGGAGAACTCCGTCATAAATGGAAGCCGGGCCACCCATCGTGTCGATGACGACGGCGCCAACGGTTGCTAACCCCTTCTCGAAAGCAGCATCAGTGAAGATGAGAATAGGAGCATCCGGGGAGTGCCACGACACTCTCCTCGGACGAGCCCCTCGCAGGAGATCGCGAATTCGCTCACACAAGCTCTTCATCTCAACGGAGCTCGAAGAGCTCAAGGCTCGCGAAAGGGGAGCGACGGCTCGACCAAGAACGAAGTTCGATGCAAAGTTGAGCTGACCTTGTACCACAGGAACTAGTCGGAAGTCACCCCGGCCGCTGCCCAACTCGTCCAGCAGCTCGATGATGTGCTCGATCCGCCGAGGCTTGTTGCGAACCTCCAAGAAGCCGAAAGGTCCGGCCAGGCCCGACAAGTCAAGGGTGCAGCCCAACACATCGAAAATGGAATCGAAATCTCGCGCCTTATCTGGATCTGTAGAGAACCTCCAACCGAGGGCGGACAGCAAGAATTTAATGGCAGCGGTAGCCGATGCTGACGAAGCCTTAGGAGATATCGCTGGGAAGTCGTCGAAGTACACCGAGCTCGGCACCAAGATGGCCTCATTCATAAGAAATGAGAGTGCTCGGCTCATGCGCACGAATCCATACACCGACCCCTCAGCTCCAAAGGGGAGGGACTCCGAGATGTAGTACAGAGGCAGTCCTTGTTCATCGTGGTGGCAGAGCACCACCAAGTGGCGCTGGGAACGCGGAACAGCCATCTGCTTGTAAGCTTTGGCTAGATCCACACATCGACCAAGCCACTCAGAGCCGGAGGGAAGTACTCGATCACCGCAGAGCACATCACCAGTGGAAAGATCCATACGAATTTTATGCCGACCCGACATCTTGCCAGCCAGCTTGATCATCGCCACCACATAGTCGAGGTCTTGCAGACGAAGGCGCTCCGTGGAGGAGAAGGATGAGTTCAGACCCGAAGATTTGCAATCGTCGATAACCCGGGGCTTGGCCTTGGAGCCCTGAAGCAAAACAAAGCGTGGCGTCGCAATCCAGTCTGGCCTTCCCAAAGCCTCAGTAACTTCTGCCGTTGTTCGATATGGTCCCGAAATGAATCCAGCCGAAACCTCACCTTCACCAAGAGAAGTCAGAGTAGCAGCATCCTGGGGTGAAGAAGTTTTGGAGGTCACAAATTTTCGCCTCCAGGAAGATTCACGCTCCAGCTGTTCGGTGCTGACTGTTGCCGGTCGAAAACTACGATCGGCATAGGGAGGGTGGTCCTGAGTGCCAGTCAAGGAAGGGCCGTCCCGAAGCATCTCCCAGACCTCAACATCGTCGTACCGGTACTCTTCCAGCAAGGTCTTAAAGAGGAGAAGTCGTTTTCCCTTAAGAACCTTCTGAAGCTCAGGAGAGAAAGAGCGATGTAGAGCCTCCTCGTCGGGGCTAAGCTTCTCCGTCAAATGTGTCACATGCTCAAGGAAGGAGGCTCTCAAGCTTGCAACCTCGGCAGGGGTTTTAGTGAGGTTGGCGAACAGGGCTCTCTTGAAGGAGTCCGTGACAACGCTGGGACCCGCCATCGGGTGTTGAAGAGCACGAGCTCGCTGCACGAACTCCTCAGGAGTCGCATAAATGCCTATGGGGATCTTGTCAGAAACCTCCGAAGTCGAAACCGAAGGGGGCCCAGAAGAAACCGACGAACCCAAAAGACCCTCAAAAGACCCCTCAGAAAAGCTGAAGGCCCCGCGATGGGCCCCCTGCTCCGGCCGGAGGCATTTATGAGGGCAGCTAGGCAAGTCATCACGACGCAGCCACTTGATGCTGGAAAACTCAGGCATAAGCTGACGAGACTTACGTGTCTGTCGCACCTCATCGCCTGGCCGAGCCAGGGCAGGAGGTGGAGTGAAAGAGATCTCATGACAACAAGCCTGGATCACAAGTTGCACAAACTGTGAAGGGTGTTGTTCGTTTTTGCACAAAAACCCAAAGGGGGCATGCTTGTGCCCGTCGCCCACTCCGGGGCACATGTGAACAAGTGAACGAAGCGCAGAAATGTTGGTGAGGAACCTGATCGAAGCTGGCCTAGAACCTCCAAGCATGCACATGTCACCGCAGAAAGCCTCCAGGGAGGCCTGACAAGACTGAAACTCTGGAAGAGATTCAAGGCAGCTCCAAAACAGGGAGCCATCAGGGTTCTCAATGCAAACGAAGGCCCCTTTAGCGAGGGCCCACACGAGAACCTTGGCACAGAAGCGGAAGAGGCGATTTTCTGCTTGAACCTGCGCCGACTGTCTAGGGTTAAGGTCTGCAAGACCCCAGGGCTTGTCATGCGACCTCAAAGGCGGGCACTTGTCAACTGCTGGGTGTGAAGACGGCAATGACCTGGCACGGGCTTTGTTCGCAGTGCGACAGGGAGGCCGGATGTACACAAAGGTCGGCCCAAAGTCCTCTAGAATATGCAAAGCAAAGTCCTGGCCAGTGGGACTCGACAACTCACAAACAAGGGGCTGGTGCTTGTGTCGCCCCGGAACCACATGTTGATCGATCGCTATGGTCTGCCATCCTATTCTGTTGAAGCTTGAGGCCAAAGCCCCATCACCTGAGAACACCTGAGCGAAGGAGGCCGAAGCGCGAGGGGCGCCATCCGTGCCATGCAGCAGCCTAGGGGGATTAGGGTTAGGGTTCTGCAAGTCACCAGGCCCAGGCAGGCGAAAGCCCAAGTCGATCAGGGCTCCCTGATCTTCGGAACTGGCTTGATCGGAAGCCTGCAAGCTATACGCAACTAGAATAACCCTACGACCCTTAAAAGGACAGGTCTCATGCCGCAAGCGCTTGGCACAGAACAGAGCTGGATGCTGTGACACCGGAAGGAGGGCCCCGAGGGCCGAACCTGAATCGAACTCACGAGTTTCATACCTGAGGTGAGGATTCCGAGGAACCGTAGCGGGCCATTCGACCCAAAGATCGCCTCCTGAAAAGTCGGTCTTATTTTCCAACGAAACTTCCGTTTGCGCGCGTTTGGGAAACCCTAACTGCGCTGCAGAGGAACCCTGTGCAAGCACTCTCTCTTTTTTTCTCCTAGCGGACATGGGGGGTTTCGGGCCCGATCTTCGGGCAACTGTACAGAGAGGATAGCCACTGGCATCTCTCGTAAAGACGACCACTGGTCGTAGGTAACTGTACAGAGAAGATAGCCACTGGCATCTCTCGTGAAG